TTGTTTTTTTTGTTCTTCTCTTCTTTTACATATGCGATCCAAACGCCTAACCGGTAATCATCACCGAATAAATGTTGTTAAACGGCACATTTTTTTTAAATATACCCGGGTCGGTTATAAGAAAAATCCGGGCCGGGCCATGCAGATGATACCTCTATCGGTCCCGGATATTTAATCTATTTTGATGTTTATAAAAAAAACGCGACTTAGGACACCCTATTTTAGTTTTTTTTTTATATGAGAGATTTTGATATATAAGGTGATATAACAAATATCGAAATAAAAGATGTTATTTTATTTTTTTTTACTCCCAAGAATCACGTTTCTATTCAAAACATATGTTTTAGAATTCTGAGCAGAAATGAAATATTATCGAGCTACGGGCGCAGCCAATGACATTATAATGATACCTAGACTGACGATGCATTCGTTAAAAGTGTACATCAATAATAATAAAAAAACAGCTGGGGACGCCATTTTTGGTTACCCATATCGATGTTCAAAATTTTAAAAACGAGAGGACCAATTTGTTCATATCTCTTGACGCAAACTTTAATTGAATCGCCTTGGGCAGGAGCAGCTGATTTGCATTCAACGACGCTTTTCAAAACGCGTTATTATGAACGCATCCGTCAGTCTAGGTATTATTACGTGTCATTGGACGCGGCAGCGGCCTAATTGCTTAAAGTTTCATCTTTTTTTAAAAAATCGAAATATTAAAAATGGAATACAAAAAAAAAATTATGTGATAATATTAAAGTTGATTACAAAAACAAAAATGTATAATTATTCTCTTTTTGAAAAAAAAAAAATTAGAAAAAGGCTTGTTATCATTTGTATCTTTCTATACTATTATTTATTAAATACAATTTTGCCACTCTTTGGGGAATATCATCATATTTTCACATCTTAACTGAACTGGGGGAAAAAAAACTTAAATTGCTTGTTTTTTTTGTTTTTTTTTTTTCAAACAAAAAAAAAAAACTCAATTTATTTTTGACATTCGTTCTTTGACAGACCTTTTTTTTATTAATGTCATTTTACTTCTTTTTAAAAAAAGAAAGAAATATTTAGATAAAGTAGCACCGTTTTTTTTTTAAATTATCAATGACATAAAATAATACCTAGACTGACTATGCATTCATTAAAAAGTTTGCATCGATGAAAAACAGCTGGGGGACGCCATTTTGATTACCCGTATCATCATTTATTAAACATTTTGGAAACGAGAGGCCAATTTATTCTTATGCCTGAAACGCAAACTTCGTCGAGATAATGAGGGAAGCAAGTCATCAATTTAATTAGTAGTTTTTTAACGTGAGAATAAATTGCCTACAATATAGGTTATCAAAATGGCGGGTCCAGCTGATTCGCATTCCGCAACGCTTTCAAATGCATTATTATGGATGCGTCATCAGTCTAGGTATTATTATTACGTCATTGAAATTTCCTTATTTATTATAACGACCTTTTTATACGTGGAAATAGTAGACTTTATAATTAAGAATTTAAAAAAAAAAATGGAATTAAGTTTTCTAAGTTGAGTGAGTCTAAACTTTGAAGATCGATTCGAATACCTTAAAAATAAAAACATGGCTACACTGTTTTTATAGTTGACTAAAGTTAGTTAGTTTAACTACAACACTAGATTTTAGATGATTTTTTTTTAAAAAAAGGAAAATGTTTTCCAAATTCCTTTTCCCTCCTTCCTCCCTTCATAAATCGATATTTCACAATTAATATCGAATCAAAATTAACGAAATTCCGTCTACAATCTCGCCCCACCTTGCAAGAGCGAATTTTATTTTTCGACAAATTAGATTTTTTTTTAAAAAAAATTTGTCTATATATTTTTTTTATATAAAATTTTAATTTATATAAATATAAATACATCATTTTAAAGCTATTTAATATTTTATATTATATAATGTATGGTGTATGTGTAAATAGATTTAACAGTTAGTAATAATAATAATAAAAAAAAATTTAATTCTAATTTATATTTTATTATAATATATTTTATAATATTTTTTTTTAAAAATAACTATATTAATCTGATATGTTTAAAATAACCACATAAAAACTAATATTTTTTTTTTCATGAATTTGATATTAAAAGTAATTAAAAAATGACTATAAAATATAAATTTATTTCTATTTTTTATAGCGGTGTTTATTTTCGGTATCAAAAATATTCTTTATTAAAAAAAAATCTCAAAATTAAATTGGATAAATAATATAATAATGGTGGTATATTTTATATTAATGTTTAAAAAAAAATAAAAATAAATGTATTTAATAAAATGAAATACGGTTTTTTCAAAAATTAAAATATTGGTAATTTGGCGGCTTATAGAATGTTGGAAAAGTCTGTGGGGTGGACTAAGGGGAGGGGGCGGGAGTTTTTGGAGTTGAGACCCCTTCTACCCTCTACCCTCCTTCCCACCCCCATGTAAAAATACTATTAGGTATTTGTTGATTTTTTTTTCCATAATATAAAATAATTAACATTTAAAATAACTTTTTCTCATTTCAAATCGCACCTTTGTCGCGCTGTAACACACTCCAGGGAAACGTTGGGGATCTGTTTAGCGTTACATATGAGGAGCATAATCAGCGTTATAGATTTGTTTCCAAATATTTATATTTGGACAAATAAATTCATCCAAAATGCCCCGAGAACTAGAAATAAATAAATAAAAATTCTTATCAGAAGCTCTAATTTTACCACTCTTTTTTTTTTGTACAAAAAAAAAAACAAATCGTTATTCCTAAAAAAAAATCATATTTTTTTATTTTACTTTTGGTAAAAGAAAAAATCAAATTCTTATTCGTGAAAATACGAAAAAAAAAAATTTCAAATTTTTCGTTATTTCCTAAATCCTTTTCTCGAATAATTAATCCCTGGTTGTATCTTAGCCACTTTTATATGTGTACCATAAATTTTGTCACATTATAATCCAATAAATGATGATAGTCGACCTACGTTAAGTTTACAAAACACTGGGCAGATAGAAGATTATAAGGAGAAAATTATTCCTTTAGAAAAAAAGACGTAATAGATAATTTAAATGGTTAAAGATTATTAGTGTTGTTAAACGGCTCGTTTTGAGGCGTTTTAAAAAAAGACTAGTTCAGTATTTTATCCAGAAAAAATACTACGCAAGAAGATTTTGCTCATATAGAAGGAACAAAAATATAGGAAGGAAGGAAGGAAGGAAGGAAGGAAGGAAGGAAGGAAGGAAGGAAGGAAGGAAGGAAGGAAGGAAGGAAGGAAGGAAGGAAGGAAGGAAGGAAGGAAGGAAGGAAGGAAGGAAGGAAGGAAGGAAGGAAGGAAGGAAGAAAGGAAGGAAGGAAGGAAGGAAGGAAGGAAGGAAGGAAGGGGAAGGGGAAGGAAGGAAGGAAGGAAGGAAGGAAGGAAGGAAGGAAGGAAGGAAGGAAGGAAGGAAGGAAGGAAGGAAGGAAGGAAGGAAGGAAGGAAGGAAGGAAGGAAGGAAGGAAGGAAGGAAGGAAGGAAGGAAGGAAGGAAGGAAGGAAGGAAGGAAGGAAGGAAGGAAGGAAGGAAGGAAGGAAGGAAGGAAGGAAGGAAGGAAGGAAGGAAGGAAGGAAGGAAGGAAGGAAGGAAGGAAGGAAGGAAGGAAGGAAGGAAGGAAGGAAGGAAGGAAGGAAGGAAGGAAGGAAGGAAGGAAGGAAGGAAGGAAGGAAGGAAAGAAAGAAAGAAAGAAAGAAAGAAAGAAAGAAAGAAAGAAAGAAAGAAAGAAAGAAAGAAAGAAAGAAAGAAATAATTGATTTTTTTTTCCCCGTTGTACAATTAAATGTATTTTTTTTATACTTGTTTATAAAAGTCAATAATCTTCCCTCTATTTGCCGCTAGAAAAGGGGAAAATGTCACACAATTATTAAATTAAGTTGTGTATTTATAAGATATAAAAAAAAATTATTAATTTACTGAATATAAATTTATTAATATAATAATAATATAACTTTATAACTAATTATATTCGATCCGGTTAATATTTATTAGTTTAACGTATATTTTTCTTTTTAACATTAACCAAAATTATTATTATAATCATCAAATTACAGTTTATTTAAACTTTGTATTTCTTCATTTATAATTAATTATTCGAAAAATTAACCCTCAAATATTACATTCTATAAAAGTTTCAAAAATATATTTAGGCCATCCAACCTTGCTTTTCTAATACAGTTTTGACCCGTTATTTTTTATAAATTTTGGTATAAAATAGTTTCGTTCATTAACGACAAACTAATTAATACACTAGATTTCATTTTGTCATAACCGATGATAATTTATATGTATTTTTATTAAATAATATAAAAGTAAGTATATATTAAATCATAATTTAATGCGGGTAGCGTAAACTGGAATCATCTTGTGAAGATTGGTGGATCTCGAAAATTCCATCATTCCCGTCAAGTCCATATTTTAAAAAATAAATAATTCTTCTATGAGTTATTCATTAATCTATAGAAGCCGTTTATAATTTATATTTAAAAAATAGTAAAAATCTATGTAAAAAAAATGAATAATACAATTATATTAAGTTCATATATATTCTATGACAAAATTTTTTTTTTTGTCTAAAACACTGTTAATAAATTGTGTTATATTGATTCTTTTCACTTTAACATAATGTTAATCTTATAGTTACATTGATTGTTATTTACTTTTGAAAAGTATATATATATATAGAATTTATTAGGTTAATATAGTATAAGTTAAATATATTTTATAAAAATATTAACCATTACACCCATATTAGCGTAACACTAACAGGAGTAAGTTTCCTCCTGAGCATGTTGGAACATATTTCTCGGTTATAAAATCAGATTTATAGATTTAAAAGTAAAATTAAAAAGCGCTCACAAAAATGGATTTAAAAATTGAAAAATAATAAATAAATTGACTGGAAAAAAAACACATTTGGGTCCTAACATATATGTTTATAAAATTTATATTTATAATCTCCTTTTAGGCCAGAGCTGACCCATGTGATCATATATGGCTTGATTACCCGGCTTCGGGAGATTCTTGTTACTTGAGCGAAAATACGAAATGCAAAGTATATATATATATATATAATATATCAATATCTCTATATGTTTTCTCAATTCTTCTTTTAAAAATATTAGTTTAACTACTATTTACTTTTCTAGTGTTTATAAAAGACTGGGGTTAGCTTAATATTCCTCGAGAATTCCGCTAATAGATGTTCTAGACCTTTGTGCCAATCCTATTAGCAAAATCTTCAGGGCTCGCGTAATATTGAGTTCGCCATTTTTTTTTTAAAAAAACCCTGTTTCAAATCGCGCCATTTTATCAACACTAATTTATTTCCCCGTTAATTTTGTAATCATATGTTAATGGGCAACCATTTTTATTTTCGTAAAATAAAAATAAGGAAAATTCCGTACGATTTATATAGGCACAGTGTCCAAAATCTTTTTTAAAAAAAATTTGAAGTTTTAAAACTTTCGGAAGTTTCAAAATTTGATGAAATTCCGAAAATTTATTTTGGTCATTTTATATTTTATATTTAAAAAAGGCTTATATTTTTTTTTCTCCCTTAAAGTTTTCAAAAGTTTTGAGAATCGTAATTTTTTGATATTTTGGATTTTATAGCCTTTTTAAAAGATTCAGAAATTTTTAAAAATAAATTTTGTAAATAATAAAATATAATGTTAGAATTTTTTTTTTTCGTACTCTTAAAATTTTATATTAAAAAAAAAAATAATTATTTCGGAGAGTGCCAGGCCCTAAGCCCGACCCGGCATAGGTACACGGGTCGAGTCGTATATTTTGAACAAAATCCGGCCCGGGTCGAAAATTTTTTTAAAAAAAACCGGTCCGGTCTGTGCAGATTACCTCAGCAGGTAATGAATATTATTAATTAAAATAAAATATATATTAAAAAATTACATTTGTTTTCATAAAATTGAAACTAGAAAACGGGTAACAAAAAAAGGTGTTCGGCTTGCAAAATTGTGATACATGAGGAGTGCTTGGACACCTTGATTAAAATAGGATTTGTGTGCAAGCCAACATTCCGGTTAGAACATCGAAGATCTTCTCTCAGGAGGAACGAGGAAAGAAAGGAGACTAATGATCCTCCACGTGATCATCTGTCAGAGTGTAAACATTATGAGTTGCATCATCATTGGGTACATAGGAGGAGGCAAGAAGGCAAATGCAAAAGTTGCGGCAAATCGTTTCCCACGAAATTCAATTTCTATTCCAAAGTTATCATATTTCTTTCTTTCTTTCTTTATTTTCTTTCTTTCTTTATTTTCTTTCTTTCTTTATCTTTCTTTCTTTCTTTCTTTCTTTCTTTCTTTCTTTCTTTCTTTCTTTCTTTCTTTCTTTCTTTCTTTCTTTCTTTCTTTCTTTCTTTCTTTCTTTCTTTCTTTCTTTCTTTCTTTCTTTCTTTCTTTCTTTCTTTCTTTCTTTCTTTCTTTCTTTCTTTCTTTCTTTCTTTCTTTCTTTCTTTCTTTCTTTCTTTCTTTCTTTCTTTCTTTCTTTCTTTCTTTCTTTCTTTCTTTATTTTCTTTCTTTCTTTCGTTCTTTCATTTAATGTTTAGATTAGCTGTTTAATTTAAATAAATCTTTTAAATTTAATTTAAAGAACAAAAGTCATCCTATACATTGGAATTATTATACCTTATATAACCAGCCTTTATTATAAAGATAAACTTTGCAATGTGTTTCTAATAATTTCCTATATAAAAAAAAATAATAATAATAATAAAGGAAATAGTCGCCATCAGCTGTTCTTGGTGCAAAAATGCCCACCATAACAAAGTCTCGTGTTTCACCCTCAAATTATTTGAAGAGAGATGCAGTTTGGGTCATTTAAGGACGGTTATTGTTCCTCCCTGGTGGATAGTTAAAGCCACGACACATCCTAATCTCAAAGAAAGAGTGACCATTATTTCTAATTCCATCCACAAAGATCCTTTGATTCCTCCTAATAAAAATTCAACCTCTACTTCAAAGATTTGTCGAGTTTCGGAGGATGTTGAGGCAATGAACGAAACTGTGCTAAATCTTAATTTGGACGCCAATAATCCCGGTATAGGCTCTCCGACTAACACGGTGCATTACAGGAGAAGTTCTAAGACTCTAACCTCTAAATCGCCTTTGTCAATTAAAAATCGTACACGGCGATTAACACATCACACTCCTGCACAAGTTTAACCAATCATATTGTCAAATGATTTATGATGATTTTAATTTGAATATTTAAAACTATAGCATTCATTTTTGATTAATATTATTTCAAATTCAATTTGATTTAAATACATAATTTAGTCTAAGAAAAAACCCATCTTTTACATACAACCAAACTACGATTACTGCGACCCAAACAATGCCAAAAATTTTGACACTGAATTACCGGTGGAGAGATATTATAAACTCTGCGGTGAAACGCCAGTTTTAGTTTTGATAAACCCCAAAAGTGGGGGAAACAAAGGGGCCAAGCTTATACACAAATTCCAATGGTTTCTGAACCCCAGGCAAGTCTTCGACATAACGAAGATCAAACCCGAATTCATGTATAATATTATATTTGCTCGATTTTACTTGTATAATAAGGTCGAAGTATGCGCCTATATATTATTAAATGTTGTTAAACCGCTGGTTAACTCAAAAATTTGATCCAGAAAAAAATATTACGCAGGCCTGAATATTTCGCTCATAGGAAGGAACAAATATTTAGACGCACATATCATCAAAATCTAGACGCTTTTAAGCGACACATTTCTGCCCGAAATATTGAGTTATAACCGTTTTGAAAAATCTGCTCGATACGAGCCCTTTAACAACACTACTATATATAGGCGAACACGGTTTTAAAATATCTTTTTTTCGAATACTTTACCATAATTCCTTATTTTACTCATTTTACTCATTTTGCAATATTCGTTTTGCACTTGTCGGCCGGCGTTCGTTACGTGTATTCGCTTTTGTCAGCCGCGATTCGTATTATTGTTTTATTGATTGTGTGATATTGTAAGAATTGGATTTAGTCTTAATTAAAAAAAAAAGATAGGTCCGGCGAGACCACGCGGTCCTACTGTGCCTTTTGGCGCTGAGGGGGGGGGGGGGGGTGGCGGCTGAAAAAATATACATTTATTTTGAAGCGAATGATTATTTCTACGTCAGAGTTTCGTAAATATTGATAACATTTTTAAAAAAAAAAATTGAAACACCTACAAATTCCTTTTGAATAAAATTTGGTATAAATTATACAATCAATATATTTTTCAAGTATATAATTGAATGGTGAGTAATAGTAATTAATTTCTAATATAATTTACCTTATAATTAATTAATTATTTTTCCCGGAAAGGGAAAAGATGTATTTAAATAACTAATTCTAAATAGTTAAAAACCTCCGATATCTTATGCAGAAATTAATGAGAATCGAGCTAAAAAGTCCGTTACAAAACTGTCCTAAGATCCGGGAATGAGTTGATCTCCCTCTAAGGAAAATCCCTTAATCTTATTAAATCTTTGTATGATTCATTAATATCATATTTTCTGCTTTTAAAAAAACAATCAGAATCGAAATGTACCACAAAGTTTCGAATTTGAGAATATTGGTATGTGGAGGAGACGGGACAGCTGGGTGGATATTCTCGGTGTTGGACTCTTTGACGGAAAAGGATATCATCGACGACATGCCAGCTGTCGCTATTTTGCCATTGGGAACGGGGAACGATTTGGCTAGATACCTCGGCTGGGGAGGGGTAAGTATTTATTTTTTTTTCTTAAATTTAAAAAAAAAAAAGAGAAGAGAAGAGAGAGAGAAGAGAAGAGAGAAGAGAGAAGAGAAGAGAAGAGAAGAGAAGAAGAGAAGAGAAGAGAAGAGAAGAGAAGAGAAGAAGAAGAGAGAAGAGAAGAGAAGAGAAGAGAAGAGAAGAGAAGAGAAGAGAGAAGAAGAAGAAGAGAAGAGAAGAGAGAGAGAAGAGAAGGTATTGATTTTCGAAAACGGCTAACCCAATAGTTTTTCTTTATGCAAAAAATGATATGCAAGCCTAAATATTTGAACAACGATATTTTAACGAACTCGATTGCTTGAAGTTAATATTATTATGGCTTAAAATTCTTAAATTAAAATTAGAAAACCAAAATGAACCGTTTAAAAAAAAACTAATATATATATATATATATGAAGAAGGGGAAAATAAAACGTTTATGATTTATTTATGCAATTTCAGTCCTACAATGACGAGCCTTTGCCCAAAATAATTACTAGCGTTGTCGAAAACCCGATAAAGAAATTAGACAGGTTAATTTGAATTTTAAAATCAAAAATTTAGTTATATTGAATAAAATATTAATTTTTTTTATTTGATATTGTTCAGAGACCTTGCAGGCCCGGCCCTAAGCCCCGGGCTGGGCCGTATATTTTAAAACCCAAATATTTAAAATCGCTTGTTACTAGCTGTAAAAAAATCAAAAAAATAAATAAAATATATTTTTTAAAAAAAATCCGGGCCGGGCCTGAAATTTTTTTTAAAAAACAAGAAACCGGGCCGGTTCGTAAAAACTTTTCGAATAAATCCGGTCCGGGCCGCCTCTACGGGTTTCTGATATTCTTTAAAATATAATTAATACGAAAGGTGGAATATTGCCGTCGAGCCCAACACATTCCTAGCTGACACTCTCCCTTATATCACGGATTATAAATCCAAAAGTAAGAAACACAAGGCTTCCAAGTACCTGGAACGCAGTAAAACTAACCCCGTATTAACATCGCTCATCATTTCCGAGAGTCAGAAAACTGCTACGGATTCCAAGAATTCTCAACCGAATTCTCCCCAGGTGGAATTCACTATTTCCCCGCACCAAGCGAATTCTGCCCACAGAATCAAACCCGTTTCTGAGCCCAGTATCTCCTCGTTCACCAAGGGGGATTATAGCAGCAAGTTCATATTCCCGGAGAACAACGGTGGTGATAGCAAAGATTTGGGGGTTAATCTGAGCCCCGATAAATTAAAAGAAGGAAACACGGATTCGGATGAAGGGAATAGAGATCATCGCGGACAAAGTCCGTCCATTAGTCCAAATCCCATAACGCCCCCCGTTAAAAGTGAATTACCTCTCACGGTGTTCAACAATTACTTCGGTATGGGTTCCGATGCTCAAGTTACATTGGAGTTTCATTTATCTAGAGGTTTGTTTTTTTTTTAAGATACGTTTTTTATTATTAAGGTATTGTTTTTTTTCTTTCAAACATAAAAAACTGGAAAAATACGGGGAAAAAAGCAGGCCTTAATGATTTTAAATTATACGCTAGTACCTAATATATATATAAAGTATTTATCTTCATTTATTTGCGATACTTTTTAATGATAATTATTTGGGTTTCTATTGAGTTAGTATTGTATTTCGTATTTCGGTTTAGCTGTGAAGAAATTAATTATTTATGTGAGGCGGATTAGGGGTAAATCGTCGGTGGCTAAGGGGGGTTATAGCGTAAAAACAGCTGCATTCATCACCTAATTATGTAATTTTCGCCATCATAGCGTAGCGATGTCGCACTATTTGTATAGATGTCATTATATTTTTTAAATGTAATAAATTTGTTTCTGAACTTAGAAAAAAAATAAATGATTTCTTATCCTTAAAACTAATTTTTTTTTTAAAGCTATTTAGCCAATCACTTAAGTATATCTTAGAATATATTTATTTTTTAAAACAAACAGAGGCGAATCCCGAAAAATTTAACAGCCGATTCAAGAATAAGATGTTTTACGCCGGGGTAAATAATGTACCATATATTATATACATATATCTATAATAATCAAAGTTAAGAGTTATATAGTAAATGTAGTTATCTTAATCTTTGATGCGCCATTTCTCACATGTTATTTTTTTTTTAACTGTAAAATGAAAATAATTAGGTTGGCGGAAAAGATATATTAAAACGTAGTTGGAAGGACTTGGTCAATCACATAAGCCTAAAGGTTTGACTTTTATTAATTATTTAATTTCGCGATTTCAAATGTTATAATTTTTAGTGATATTTATATATATATATTCGTTTAGTATATCTTCAGTTTAGAATTAGAGTGCTTCAACTATAAATAGAAAACTAGATTTTAAAAAAAAATTATATTAATTTTTGCTCTGTCAAAATTTATCAATAAGCTTTCTCCTATATTTGATTTTAAAACTTTAATGTTTGATTTGATTTTCTCAATTTTAAACATTTTGCGCAAAGTGGAGTTACTCCATTTCTAGGCCGACCATATATATATATATCAAACTATTTTTATATTCCACTAAAAAAAATGATAAATCGAAATACCTTACTATTATCATATAATCGACATACAAAAATAATTCTCGGGATAAAAAAAACGCTAAAAATTTTTAAAAAAAAATAAAATAAAGTCAAGTTGATGTTACACAAAAAAAAAAAAATTATTTTTCAAGGGGCAGGTATTGTCCATCCCCCAGGGTGTTACGAAATTTTGACTCAGTGGAGTTAATATATATATTTAAAAGATGGCCTAATAAAATTTTCCTCCTTCGTTTGGTAAATTTGGTGCACGGTCTTTCTTAGTGTTGTTAAACGGCTCTGAAAAAGAAAGAAAGAAAGAAAGAAAGAAAGAAAGAAAGAAAGAAAGAAAGAAAGAAAGAAAGAAAGAAAGAAAGAAAGAAAGAAGTCCTAGACATTTTGTTCCTTCTATGAACAAAATCTTCAGGCTCGCTTCATATTTTTCTTTCTTTCCTTTCGTTGATTTTTTCCCCTTTTTTTTGCCACTAATAATAGTCGGTCACGCGCCATAAAATATCCAGTACTATTAGTGATCTGCATCGGGCCTAATTTTTCAAACCCGGCCCGAATTTTTTTTTTAATGTTTTACCCGGCCCGAACCCGAACCCGAACCCGGATTTATTTGAATATAGAAGTTAAAATTTTTATAATAACTCAAAATAAACGATATACGTTATTTGGCCTCTACTTTTCTATTAATAAAATCACACATTTTTATTTTTACATAAAAAATTCGAACATAAAAATTGGTAAAATTTAGATATATTTTTAAAAATTTCTAAGGCCCGATTCGAATTTTCTTAAAAAAACGGGCCTACTTTTGCAGATCTCTGAGTAGACTATTGTTTTTTTTTAGGTTTAGTTCTGGCACGGATAACTTTATTTCTTAAATTTCTCCAGGGGCTCAGAACCTAATCAAGTTTTAGTCGAAAATTACGATAAAAAAAAAGATAAAGATAATAGCAGAACTGAAAGTCAAATAAATGCATTCTTATAATCAATATAATAAATTCTTAGTGGTCAACATTACCAAAATTATTTATTTATATTTCATAATTTATTTTTTTTTTTAAAAAATAAAATAAAATAAAAAATCAATATTGCTTTTTTGAAAATCGATAATCGATCAATAATTAGTGCGACGATATTGATTGGACAGAAAAAATCAGAGAGATGAAATTTCACTGTATATTGTTTCTCAATATTTCCAGGTAAATTATTTTTTAAATATATATTATTTTTTTTTTCAAATTCTTATTTTAAGTTAAAGTCAATGTATAAAAGTTTTTACCTCGTAATCAATCTGTTTTGGTTTTAAAATTAAAATTAATGAAAATATATGCTGACCTTGACTCTTGTTTATAATTATTATATAAAATCGATTAGATATGCTGGGGGTACTTTACCGTGGGGCTCTGATACCTCTACCAGTAATTTTGGGACTGGTGCTAGCAGTAACGTTGTAGCCGAAAGATCCTCTAGTAGCATAAGCAGCGAAAACAATGCTCTATTTGAAAGGCCTAGGTCTGACGACGGATATTTGGAAGTCATCGGGTTTACGGCCGCTTCATTGGTTAGTATATATTTATTGTTAACCAATCGTATAATTAATTGATTTGTTGTTTGTTTTTAAGATATATTTATTTTACTATTATCTTGAGGCACATGAAAAAAAAAAATTCTTATTGCTGAGACATGATTGGTTAATTGGTCCCGTCAATCTTGACATAATATTGATTGTATAAGAACGGGCCATTTTCCCAGAAGAGATTTTGTTTCAAAGTTTTATAATATATATTTCAGAATTTTTTTATAAATGGATTCTATTTTTTTTTTTTTTTAAATTCAATTCCAAAGGCTGCTCTGCAAATGGGAGGTCACGGCTACCGAATATGTCAATGTCATCTTATCGAATTAGTGACAACTACCAATATACCCTGTCAAGTTGATGGGGAGCCTTGTAAACTGTCCCCATCTATCATAACCATATCTCACCGAAACAAGGCTAACGTCGTTATCAAGAAACTCAAATATTTCGAGTAAAATCATTTATAAAAAAATTATAAAGAAACCATCTTTGTTTTACAGAATTTTGGCTTTCCGATAATTTTAAACCTTTAAGGTTTTATAGTTTATTCATATCACATACCAATATCAATCGCAGATAATAAACCAAAACATGTATATAGTAAATATATAATCAATGGGTTGATTAGCCGTTATGGAGTTTTTGAGTATATTGTCCTTTTTTTCAAATAGGCTTTCCTTTTCCTATTCTGCAAAATATCATTATGGCGACTAATAAAAGCAGCTTCGTATTTTACATTGTATCTGCATTGTATCGGGAATACAATATATTTAAAATATTTAAAAGTTTTTATTCCCACATCATCAGATCTTTCCTATATTATTGTCCATTCCAATAAAAAAAATATATTACAATTATTAAAAGATTTCGAGGTATTTCATGTAAGAATGTATATATATTAAATTAAATTACTTATTGATATTTATTTCGGCCATAGTGCCGACCCGTCGTCATTGAGTTTTTTAGTTTACCCGGGCTCAAAAATCTTAAAAATTTTTATTAAAGAAAGAAAGAATGAAAGAAAGAAATGAAAGAAAGAAAGAAAGAAATGAAAGAAAGAAATGAAAGAAAGAAAGAAAAGAAAAGAAAAGAAAAGAAAAGAAAAGAAAAGAAAAGAAAAGAAAAGAAAAGAAAAGAAAAGAAAAGAAAAGAAAAGAAAAGAAAAGAAAAGAAAAGAAAAGAAAAGAAAAGAAAAGAAAAGAAAAGAAAAGAAAAGAAAAGAAAAGAAAAGAAAAGAAAAGAAAAGAAAAGAAAAGAAAAGAAAAGAAAAGAAAAGAAAAGAAAAGAAAAGAAAAGAAAAGAAAAGAAAAGAAAAGAAAAGAAAAGAAAAGAAAAGAAAGGAAAGGAAAGGAATTTTGACCGAGCTCTAACCTCCCCCTCCTCCCAATCCCCTTTTCTGGTGTCATCACTGACACCAACGCGTGTTGATAACCAAACAGCGGGAAAGAAATTTTTTTTTTATTTGGGAATTTTTTTTTTATATATATAAATTTACAATTACGTTTATAACGAAATGGGCAAAAATTTTAATTTTCGCATTATTTTATTTTATCTAAGCTCCGAAGATACGGGTTTTGATGGGAATTATCGCAGATCCCAAGAAAATAACATGGAAGCGGACAATCTAGAATCCAAAGAAAGCTCTAAGATTTTTCAAACTCCTTTAGAATCAAGGAATTCCGAGTATATATTATCCTTTTTTTTATAAATTTTACGTTTTTAATTAATGTATCGCTTTTGTAACGGATATTGATAATAAATTTTTTTTTAAACTTTTTATGAGCAATAAATATATCATGGCACAGCTGACCTAGGGGAAAAGCTAATATTAAATTAAATATTAAGTTCAAAAGTTCATGAAAAATTCATCTGAAATTTATAGGAAAGATATTCTAAACACAGATTTTTAAATGATTGAGTGTTGAAAAAATAATTGACGCTTGTCATATACTAATTAGTGTTGTTAAAAAGTCGAGTTCACCCTACTCCACAACACAGTGTCTCGAGTCAAGACTAACTCGAGTCGTGAACTCAAGTCGACTAGAGGACGAATATTTTGTGAACTTGAGTCGATTAGAGGACGAATATTTCAAATTAGTTATTATTAAAATATATATATATAAATTATTCGCTTCATTTTTAAAAATAGCCTCGCGACAAACACGGTCTTCGTAAATTCGGACGATAATGCTCAAACTAAATCATACAACGAAAATCTCCCTACAAAACGAGTTATTTTTTCAAAAAATAAATATTTTAAAATATCATTTATATTTATATATATATATATATGGTAAGTATCAAATTTAAGTTTCGTACATTTTTCTACCCTTTTAAAATTTACTATAATTCTTACCCACGATTTTGAATTTTTAATTTTATCGAGCTTAAGGGATACATAATATATTAAATATAACTTCAAAATATTATGATTAATTAATTAATTATAATTTTTAAATAATATTTTACTAGAATTCTATATTGAACATACCCGACATCTCGTTGTCCCTTTGCGATAATAACGAAGATATTAACCACCTCAACGGAGATGACTTCGAAATAGGTGAGACCAAAATTGGCGGCAAACCTTTGGTAAAAGATGCCATTCCCGAATATAACGATGACTTGGGTGCTAATCATCATCATCGTCCCGGCTTAATAACCGATTATCCCGTCGATACAATTGAGACCGACAGAATAACGGGTTCAAATCAAGGTAATTTGTAATATTGTATTATTTAACTTTTTAATACATATACATATATATATATATATGTGTGTGTTAGCGTTAATTTATACTGTTCACAATTCATTAAATAAGGTATTCCAAACATGATGGAATAATGTATTTCCCGGTAAAAATCAGATTTTTAAATTTTTTTTAAAAAACGCGCTCGAAAAGCCGGAAATAACACATTGATGCTAATAACAGTATTCCACCATGTTTGGAATACCTAAAGATTTAACGGCCAAATTGTCTTTAATTCGTAAGATAGATATACATGATAGAATAATGTATTTCCCGGTAAAAACTGATTTTTAAAATTTAAAACACGTTGAGGCTAACGTATATATATATTTTAATCAACAAGAGAACTGCAATTTTTTTTGGCCTTCAGGTCTTAGGGGTCTTTTTTTTGTTCGAAAATGATTTAGGGTTCGGGTTTTTTATTATTTTTTATAAATACGGTTTTTATAGTGTTGTTGAACCATCTTACTTTGGGCCAGGAAGGAAGGAAGGAAGGAAGGAAGGAAGGAAGGAAGGAAGGAAGGAAGGAAGGAAGGAAGGAAGGAAGGAAGGAAGGAAGGAAGGAAGGAAGGAAGGAAGGAAGGAAGGAAGGAAGGAAGGAAGGAAGGAAGGAAGGAAGGAAGGAAGGAAGGAAGGAAGGAAGGAAGGAAGGAAGGAAGGAAGGAAGCAAGGAAGGAAGGAAGGAAAAGGAAGGAAGGAAGGGTGATTTAAACATCCACTATATGGTTATCATTTCCATCTTGCGGAATAAATTGATATATTGTTAAGAAGAAATGCAGAATATATTTTATTATTATTAAAATAAATTAAGAGCCCCGGGCGGGCAAAGAATTTTTTTATTTCCGGTCACGAGCCCTTTTCCGGAAATACGAAAAATAATTTCCCATCAGGATCGGTTCGGGAACTTGAAAAAATTTTAGCTCGATGCTGGTTTTAAACTTTTTTTGAAGAAGACAAAAAAAAAATTTTATAGTTTTTTGGGTAGCGATGTTAAACGGACGGCTCTTTTTGAGCCGATTTTTTTTAAAAGCGACGATGCGCCTGCGCTAATCGGCTCAACTAACTTTCATTGGAGGCAATATTTAAGCCAGAAAAATATTCTCCTAGCCTCGAGGATTAAGTAGATGTTCAAACTTAGTGTTGTTAAACGGCTGCTAACTCAAATTTTCATCCTGAAAAATATTACGCAAGCCTGAAGATTTTGCTCATAGAAGGAACCAAGGTCTGGACATAAATTATCGAAATCTCGACTCTCATACAACTTTTATATTTCCGGATAAAATATTAAGTTAGCCGGTTTTTAAAAACCGGCTCAAAAATAAACCGTTTAACAACACCATTTTTTGGGGGTATAATAACCTAAATTTCGTATCTTGAAGAAAAAATATTCAAAATTTTTTTTCCGGGGAACTTAAGGCCCTTTACGCCTCCCGCTATCGAGGGCTACCTAAATAAAAATGGTGGCGGAATCATTACGAAAAACAAATCATTAATTTGACCGTTAACGCATCGCTATGGCCGATGATTAGCAATTATAAGTTTATTCGTTTAAAAATGGTTAATTATCATCTTTATATGTGAAATAATATTGAGGCTTGTTTTTTTAGCATCGAAAAATTTTCCTGGGGGATAAATATAATACCCTCCTTTTTTTTTGATTTTTACTAGTGGATCGATTTATCGAAAAATCTTAGCAAATGATTTTTTTTATCAAAATATATTATAATATTAATATTACTTTATATAACAAGAGTCTAAGCAAAATCAACATTATCTATATGGTATGTGATGTGTGTTGGCGTCAATGTGTTTTATTTCTGGCAATGCGTTATTTTTTTATATAAAACCATTTTTTGAACGCGTTTATTTTTTTAAAATTATAAAAATCAGATTTTATCGGAAATGTAATTCTATCATGTTTGGAATACCTATCTTTTATGAATTGTAGACAATTTTGCCGTTAAAATATATTGGAAAATCTAATATAAATTTAATATTAAGTTTATAAGTTCATGGAATAAATTATCTTGAAATCAACGTGGAACGCATTTTCGGTAAAATTAGATTTTTTTTTTTGAATTTTAAAAAAAAACACTCTCAAAAAATAATTTAAATTTGAAAAAAAAATAACATTTACGGCTAACATATTATACCTTTATAATATTATGTTGGTTGTTTTTAAATACAAATTTTGTTTAGACTTGAAAATATAATAAATTAATTTATTTATTTCTTTTTATATATATTTTAGTGTATACATTTTATTACATAGTTTGTTTTTTTTAAAGCAATATTTTCTTATCTTTTTTTTTGCAATAATCAAAAAAGTGATAACAACTTTAATTAGTATTGAAATACGACACTTATATGCTTGAAGAAGAAGAATATGTGAACTTAAATAAAAGCTATATAGATCATTTCACGCTTACATAACTTATCGCGATTATTTTAGCTAGGTGTTTTATATAATACCTAGACTGACGATTCATTCATTCATTAAAATGCATTTTTTAAGCGTCGTTAAATAGCAAATCAGCTGGACCCGCCATATTGGTAACACGTATAGTTAATTATTCTCATGTTAAAAACTACTATTATAATTGATAACTTGCTTCCTTAACTATCTCGATGATCCGGCAATTCTTTAATTAAAGTTTGCATCAGATATAGGGAATAAATTAGGCTCTCTTTTTAAAATTTTAATAATGATTAGTCTAACCAAGATGGCGTCTCCAGCTGATTTGCATTTGATGTAACTATGTCATTGAAGACGTTAACTATTTTTTTAAAATATTTATATTGCGAAAAAAAAATATATATAGCTTATATAGACGCTTGCAAGAGAGGCGATCTCGACAACGTACGTTTACTTTTTAAAAATATTTACATTGTATAAGTTAACGTAACCGGATATGGGAATCCAGAGGGATTGGAAATCTTTCACTTTTCTAAAGTCATTTTTTACTGGAGGGGGTGCGGCACGTATATTTGAATTTAAGACAATTTTGCCCCCCCCCCTTATCATTTTGACAACTCTTCTTCTTCTCCGTTTAATGGCGATTATCCAGGTTCACCCAGGTTGGCCAGTTTTCCCTCTGATTTAATCATTAGGAAATTTTGTAAGCTAGGTTTTTTACAATTCGGGATGTCCTTCCTGACACTAACCCCCTTTAGGTGGTTTTTACATCCTCGTCGAGGAGACGGTGATCCTAATTCTAGACCCAGACCATAGGGAACCTTTTACATCTCCATTAGCCGCCAAAAAACGTTGCCACTCCCCTGCCGCGATGAGGGCTGTAGGTATAATTAGTGTCATAACGTTTAAAAAATAAATACGTAAATCGCGATATTGCCTGAAATTCGCGGACAAAAGATGAATCCATATGGGTTCCATTTCCGGTTACGACATTTTATACGCAATGTTTTGTAATAATAATCTAAAAGTATATTTAAAGAGTTCAGTATTTCAAAATATAGAAAATGTGTATTTATATTTTGCTTTAGATGAAAAATCTGATATCGCATTCTCACGCTGATATAACATGTGTAGACTCTTCCGGCCTAAGTGCCTTACACTATTCATCTCAATTCGGTTTTAAAAATATCGTGAAATACTTTTTAGAAAACGGTAATTAAATACTTTTTATTTATATTATTCGTGTATCATTATATACCTTTGTAAAATAGTATCGCTTTAAACTGATAACATGTATCACTTATATCCAGACTGACGGGTTCATTCGTTAAAATGCACTAGCGTCGCTGAATACGAATCAGCTGGTGACAACCTTTTTTGGTATCACGTATTAGAATTTTTTAACTAAAATGGCGTCTCCAGCTGATTTACATCGATGCACCTTTAAATGAATAAATTGTCAATCTATGTCGTCGTTTCTAATAAAGTATATAATTTGAAAAATTAATTTTTTTAGCCCCGAAATATATGATTGACCTTAAAGACAACGACAAGTTACAAATCTATTTTTGATGATATATATATATATACTTATTATGCTGCATTTATAATAAAACGCTATTCGCTCACGCATGTGACGGAATTAATCGCTAGCGAAACTTACAGCGATTAATACTTTTTTGGAAATATTACTTTTAAACAGCTGTTGCCGATTTCATCATTTCGCGCACTATTTTATAAATGACACCTATCATATAGGCTTGAATAACGTAAAATCACTTCGCCAAAAAATTCAGAGACTTGCAGAGGTACCATTTGGACAGCCCGGCCCGGATTTATTTTTCAAAAATTTTTTTAAGACCGAGCCCGAGCCGGTTTTTTATAAAAAAAAAATTGACCCGGATTTCTAAAAAAAAATTTAATTATATTTATTTTTGATTTTTATAGTTAATAATGACGATTTCGAATATTTTGATTTAACAATATACGGCCTGGGGCTAGGCCTGCAGGTTCTCTGATATGAAGGCAGCCTTAGTACGATAATTGGATATCTAAGAATTCTTAGTCGTATATATTCTATTTATTTTTTTTTAAAAATGACACTATAGAACTAATTAAACTATATAACATCACAATAAATTACAAATTATTAAATAAATTAATATATCATTGTTTTTTTTTACGTAACTTTGTTACCTTTAAAAACAAAATATATTAAACTTCCCACAAATTAAGGTAAAATTCGGATTTCATCCAAGACCTTTTCATAGGAAAAATTAAATATATATTATATTGTTTTTTTTTCTTCAAATAATATAAAAAAATAATCCGACAGAGGGCAAACAGCTCTACACAAAGCGGTCTCTAATGGCAGGAGAGGCGTCTGCGCCTTATTGGTCGAAAATGGTGCTAAAACCGATATACCCGATTATCAAGTCAGTTATAATATTCAAATGACAGACATATAAATATAATAATACCTAGACTGATAACGCGTTCATATAATTAACGCGTTTGAAAAGCGTCGTTGAACGCGAATCAGCTGGACCCGCCATCTTGGTAACCCGTATAGTAATTATTCTCGTGTTAAAATAAAAACTACCATTTTCTGCGTCGGATATAGGAATAAATTGGACCTCTCTTTTAAAAAAAATTTTTAATGATGAATATGGGTAATCAAAATGGCGTCCCCAGCTGTTTTTCATTGATGCACACCTTTAAGTCATTGGTTGTATCGCTAACATAATTTTTATTTTTCCTATCCTTACGTGTTGAATTGGGCTATGGGAAAGTTTGATCCGGAAATTATTATTCCGCCATTGTCTAGGAAATGCGTAAACTATTAATTTATAATATAATGTTGCACCATTAAAATTTTTGTATCCTCTTTTTAATTTATATAATAATAAAATCGATACGATAAAATTCGATAACAATTACGGGTCAAACCCGGGTTTTCGAATATATAAATTGTCCTACATCTCAATTAGTGTTGTTTAAACGGCTTCGTTTTGAGCCGATTTTTAAAAACGGCTAACTCAAGATTTCATCTAGAATATTATTGAAGCCCTAAGGATTTTCTTTGTAGAAGGGAAAAAAAGGTTTCTTGAGGTTTAGGCAAATATTTTTCTGGCTAAAATACTGAGTTAGCCGATTTTTAAAAACGGCTAACTCAAGATTTCATCTAGAATATTATTGAAGCCCTAAGGATTTTCTTTGTAGAAGGGAAAAAAAGGTTTCTTGAGGTTTAGGCAAATATTTTTCTGGCTAAAATACTGAGTTAGCCGATTTTTAAAAACGGCTAACTCAAGATTTCATCTAGAATATTATTGAAGCCCTAAGGATTTTCTTTGTTACCGATTTTTAAAAACGGCTAACTCAAGATTTCATCTAGAATATTATTGAAGCCCTAAGGACTTTCTTTGTAGAAGGGAAAAAAAGGTTTCTTGAGGTTTAGGCAAATATTTTTCTGGCTAAAATACTGAGTTAGCCGTTTTTTAAAAATCGGCTCAAAACGAGCCGTTTAACAACAGGAAATGGTAATGGGTATTTGTACACTCTGCTTACATTCCCGCCAAAAAAAATACGAAATTAAAAAACCGCGCTAAATTAAATTGATTTTAAAATTTTGTTGAACAATGCAACATCTGTATTTCCAGTGCACAATGTCGAATAACCGTATCCTATAATAATCTTTCGAGTCATCTTTTATATGGTGGGCAATACACGAATTGATTATATTATATATTGTTTCGATATTAAACTATAACGAAAGGGCCTGATTGCTCAAGACATAGCTACCTTATCCGGAGATTTAGAATTAGCAGAATATCTCAGAGGTAAATCCGATTTATCCTTCAACAAAGACCTGTACAGCATCGAAACGTTAGTATAGAAAAGCGTAAATCCTTTTGGGAATCACTGTTTAGAAAACAAAACAATACAAAACCAAAAAAACATAAATACTCAAATTTGTTTTTTTTTAAATCATTTATCATGTTTGATATATTTTATACCCAAATAAAAGCAAAAAACAATGCAATATTATTTATTTTTTCCTATCTCGAGAATTACGTAAAGTGGTGTTTAGCAGGGAAATGTATTCCATTAAGATTTTTCTTTGAGTGGAATTTAAATACAAATTATTTTTCTTTCTTTCATTCTTTCTTTCTTCAAAGAAGGAGAATTTTATATAATGATTGTAATGGTAATTTAAAAAAGATATAAATAAATCTAATGGTCCTCATCTTAATAGATATAGTAATTACTTATCTAAACTTCTTATGAACCATAATTTTAAGATCTTTTTGAACTTCGGTAGTTTGTTGACAATAGATTTTAAGAGCTACCAAAATGTATGTATATATACTGTTTGTAAATCTAATAATGTAAAATTAGACTTTTCTTTATTTTTTTAAAAAAAAAGGATCATTTGCATAGTAGTTTAGTATTATTATATCAAATTTGTGTAGATGGAAATATAATTTAATAAATATATATATAAACTTTCTCGTGAATTTTTTTAAGGAATTCAAAAAAAAAAAAGAACATAAGTATCTGGCAGGGATCTAAGAAATTTTGGTTTATTGTATTTGTATCTGTGGTCGGTATCGATAGAATAGACTAAAACATATAATGAAAGTTATAAAGTAATTCTTATCATCTATTAAATACAAAGAAAAAATCACATTTTTATAAATATAAATAAGATTTTAATTTATTTATTAATTAAAATCAAAAATTATTTCACATTTAATATTGCGTTGTTTGTTATATATTTTTGTATAAATATTCTGGGGAGTTTGTTTTATCCTTGGGTAACATATACAAAAAATTTTTACGATTCATAAAAAAACCATCATATTTTAATGGGCAAGTATTGTAATTTTTTGTCTAAACTAAAGAATACACATTTCTTTGAGAACCGTTTTCGTTCATGGAGACTTCGAAAACGTAAGCTATGCACAATAGGATTTCTTGAGATGCTCTGTCAGTGATTACCTTATAGAGGAATGAAAAAATAAGTGAGAAAAAAAAATAGGTTTTTTTAAACATTCATTTTAAAAATAATCGCCATTGTAGCATGGTTAAAGCAACGCGATTCGATGTAGCCCTAATTTGTCCGACAACTATAACTGAGACGCCTTAGTAATCAATGATATCATTGTAATAGTAGTTTTTTTGAAAAAATCTAGCATTTTTCTTAAAAAAAATAGGGGAAGTACCTGAAGTATAGTGAAATTTTCCAGAACACTGTTCATCATGTATTTTTCCGGTAAATTTATGAGCTTGAGGACAAAATTGATCATATATTCGCAAAGCGGAGATCGGTTTATCCTGTATAAGTAAGTATCATTTTCTAATCTACCATATTCCGTCTAAAATAAAATAAAAAATTAATTAATCTTTATATTTGTTATACATTACATCGACGATATAACGTTCATTTATCTAAATTAAGTATACAATGTCGATATTTTCTGTATATATATTTAAGATAAATTTTTTTCTATTAGCGTATATATAGATTGTAAGGTAGGGCGATTCTAGGCCAGTTTTGTCATGAAAAATGATCAACATGTACTTATTATCTTTCTTTTCTATTGCTTTAAAATGATATTTTATTAAAAGGGTATAATTTGCCGAAAAATGGGGGGGGTTGGGTCTCACATAATGATATAGTATATTTTTTGATTTGCCAAAAACTTATAATATGTAGAAAGAAAGAAAGAAAGTTAATTGGTAAGTTAGAAATTTTTTTAAAAAAAACATATGTTTACTTCCACTTTTTCAACGACCTGCTTACCGAAAGAGCAAATCTTGGTCGAAACGACGACTGTCAACTCGGTGTCACTTTGATAACTTTTTTTTTTTAAAAAAAAACTGACATTTAGGTCATGAAATTTAAAAAAATAATGATTATTAAAATCAAAAATATGCCGTGCCGAAAGAAAAAGAACTCGTCTTATTAAAAGAGAAATTCGATTTTTTTTTTCTACTTCTTCTCTAGATTAGATTAGTTATAATAAATTTTTACCAGCTATCTATTCCGTAAAAAGCGTTGGGTTCATTGTTATTGATGTCGATATCCACATCTCCCTTTTTTTTTTAAAAAAAAAGCAACATATTTAAATTTATACAAGTTCAAAAAAAAGGGGGAAATTTAAAAATAATTTTCAGATTTTGATTTATACAATTAATATTTCCGTGTTTTAACTCCTTTGTAGGTGGCCCGGCCCCGTAAAGTATATTATATTTATTTTTGAATTTTTTTATAGCTATAATAATGGCGATTTCGAGTGTTTAGTTTTAAAAACATCGGGCCGGGTTTAGGGCTGAGCTTGCGGGTTTCTTGTATCTGTACTAAGAAGATCGAACCCTTCGGTTAGTTAATCGGCGACTCCTAAAACCAAAATAACCCGATTGCTTATAAAAATTAATATTTGAAAGGGTAATTAATAAGTTGTGTGCAGAGTTGTTAAAGGATCTAGATACAAGTATCGGATCTATATACAAGTATCTAGATATAAAAATGTGGTATCTGTATCTGTATCTTTTTGATTAAAATATCGGTATCTAGATATTATTTTAGACGATGTATCTGTATCTAGATCCATTTAAAAAGTATCTTTTAACAACTCTGGTGTGTGTGTATATATATATATATAATTTCTAAAAAATAAGTTTTTAAAATTACCCAAAATTTGACTAAGTAAAATGCGTTTGTAGGACCTTTGGAAAAGAGTTCTCTCAACCCGGGAAATTTGTCGTGAATTTGTTTGACTTCAATTTTCTAAAAAAAAAAAAATATATCATTAATTTATATTTTCTCATTTTTTTTTAGGCTATGATTAATTTTTTTTTATATTCAAATTGAATCACAGATGTTCCCTACATTAGAATTATTATATTAGAAATTTTATCAGTATCTTTTCTTCCTCTTGGAGTAATATTCATACGAAATCCCTTATCTAACTATATTGCTCTTCTTTGAGCCTAATGTTTGTTAAACGGCGCCGATTTTTTCAAAACGGTCAACTCAATATTTTATCCAGAAAAATGTTGCATATGCCTCGAGATTTCGCTATATTCTCTAAATTTTTGTTCCATCTTTGAGCAAAATCTTCAGGCTTGCCCCTTTGATTTCAGGATTTCCGTTTTGCAGAATTAGTCTAGGGATATTTTTTTTTCTTTAATTTTTAAATATAATATATATAAGAAAAAACCTCGATTGGCATGTTGTCATAGTTGATGGGACGATCTACGAAAACGAACAAGTGACGTCTGAGTAACACATGGCTCTGTATAGATGAGGGAATGTGCAAAGGGGATTAAATATTATTTATAACATTTTTTTTTAGCGAGGATGCCGAATCTATGGGGGGGGGGTATATTTGAGCCCTACTTCGAGAATAAAAAATTTTGGGAAAAGGCAGAAATTTTTCTGTGGTAAGCTTTCCCTTCAATATCTCTTTCCACTCTACGTTAATTCGTGCTATCTCTTTTATCTAATTTATATTTCTCCATATTGGCTCTAAACCATATGGGCCCCATCGAAGTTTTGGCCATCCCGCGATTACGTTTACCCATCACTTCCAAAACTCTTAACCTTATTTCTTATATACAGTTTATAGGCATGTTACCACCTAACTCTGTTCACCATTATCTTAGTCTTAATAGTCACTATACCTTTAAACTTCCTGGTATTCTTGTATAAAAACAGCCAATAATATGGTTTTATTATCGGCATTTGCCAGGTCAAAAAAGTTTTTTAAATTTGCGGGAAATATTTCGAGTTAAAAAAAAAATCTTTGATTTCGTGTTATTAGTGTCTGGTTTAAACGGCTCTATTTGAGTCGATTTTTTTAACAAGGGGCTAACTCGATATTTTATCCAGAAAAAAATATTACGTCAAAGATGGAACAAAGGATCGGACATCTATTAGGCTAAATCTCGAGGCTCAGGCAAAGTATTACGGGCCGGCAACAATATTCTGCGTAATAATTTTCGGGGTAGAATATAGATTTAGCCGTTATATCGACCCGAACCGTTTAACAACACTAATCGAATTAACCTTGTACATACTTATTGTATGTAAGAATACAATATTTTTATAAATACTCACGAAATCTTAGATATCAAGAAAAGAGTGTCGGAAATTTTTCCGCGGCAACAGTTCATTCCCATTTTACCACCCCTTCTTATATTATAGAAAAAAAAAAATATTTTCTTGCCCCCTTCCAGAAGGAATTCTGTAGGGACGCCCATGGCCAAGATGCTTACATTCATCTTTTTAAAAACAATAATTTGTAACGTATTATTTAAGAAAAAAAATAGTTTTTTTTTTCTCTCGGGTTCATATTACATTGTAATTAAAGAATGACAAAAAAAATGACCTATATTAGGGGCCGTGTAATATTTTATATTCTTCCAACTTACTTGAGTTCTGTTGAGCTTTTTGGCACCGTTGACCTTGAGAAATTTCATGGCTTGCCTATCGACTTCATCAGAATTCCCCATTTTTTGGACACCCTTTTCGTAACAATCATCTTTTATCATATTCTCGACGTAGCACGAAAAGCTTAACAATCTCAGCTTGTCCGACTCCAGGAATGTCGCGTGCTGAATATCAGAATTCCCGTTGTGAAATTCCGAATCATCTTCGGCGTTTTCGTCGCTCATCTCGTCCACTTTACGTTTGACCAAACTCTCGCGACATTTCGAGGCGTTTCGTATTTCCGTTGAGTCGCGGTTATTTCCCCTTCCTTCCTGTTTGATTGTAGCGTCGTTCGAACAATCGCGACCAAAGCAATTATTCGATATCGTGGACGGAATGGGGTAATATGGAGAGGTGAGGGGCCGGGTTCTGTAATACGAATCTTCGCGCTCATTGTTTCTGTCAGTTTAATATATAAAAAATTATGTCAGAGACCTGCAGGCCAGGCCCTAAGCCCGGGTACACGGGCCGGATGATAAAAGTCGGGTCGGACCGGCCTGAATATATTAAAAGTATATATTCAAAAGCAAACAAAAAAATCGTGTTGCAAATATTAAATTTAAATGTATACATGCAAATAGGAGACAGGGTAAGAGGAGATGATTTCGAATCTTCCTGGTAATGCCGGTTGTTGATAGCATTTATTTGAGCGTTTTTGGGTGGTAAAAACTTTATTTTATTTTTATTATTTTCGCAAAACAATATATTATTTATTGTTGTATGATGGGAATTTTAATCAAATATTTCGTAAGCAGCATATCTTTGCTAGGCGTTGGTTAGGGGGTACTACAAAAAAAAGTGGCTTAAAGATATGGAAAAAGTTTGAGAAGAGAAGAGAAGAGAAGAGAAGAGAAGAGAAGAGAAGAGAAGAGAAGAGAAGAGAAGAGAAGAGAAGAGAAGAGAAGAGAAGAGAAGAGAAGAGAAGAGAAGAGAAGAGAAGAGAAGAGAAGAGAAGAGAAGAGAAGAGAAGAGAAGAGAAGAGAAGAGAAGAGAAGAGAAGAGAAGAGAAGAGAAGAGAAGAGAAGAGAAGAGAAGAGAAGAGAAGAGAAGAGAAGAGAAGAGAAGAGAAGAGAAGAGAAGAGAAGAGAAGAGAAGAGAAGAGAAGAGAAGAGAAGAGAAGAGAAGAGAAGAGAAGAGAAGAGAAGAGAAGAGAAGAGAAGAGAAGAGAAGGAAATCCGATTAACAAAGAATCTCCTAATCTTTTTAAACCCCAAGAATAAACCATCTTTTTGAAGTGAATATAAAAAGAAATTCAATTAAAAATGGAGCATAATTAACTTGTAAAACTTGGGGATAACTAGACGTATTTACGTCGCCAGCATTGGTAGAAACGAAATCTTTTTTATCCGCGTCTTTGGCTGAATGAACGCGATGACCGTTAAAATTTAATTTTCCGTCATCTTCAGCTGCCGCGTTATGGTCAACGCTCTCATTCTTGAACGATAATTTACTCGTATCGCCTTGCAGGGAAAACGTGAGAGGGGATGGCGTAGATGCCGCGTGACCTGTAGACATTTTGTGCCAATTTTTGGGATGATCGAAATTTCCTCTAGAATTTATATCCGTTGGCATTTTGTCATCTGCCGCCTCGATATTTGAAGAACTTTCGTTGGCACTCTCCTATTTTTTTTTTAAAAAAAAAAGAAAGAATAGAACAAATATCTAAACTTGGATTTTTCAAGCCTTAGAGTCTAAAAAAAATAAATATATCTGTATATGTTAGCATCAATGTATCATTTTTTTTGGGCGCGTTTTTTTTAAATTTAAACCTTCTGATTTTACCGGAAATGTATTAGATTGACGCTAACACATATATAATTATATATATATACAAAAGACGCACTTTGAGAGAATGATGTTGGATTTGGTTTTCGCGCGATTTTTTCCTGGCCAGAACTTGAATGTGACTCGACACCTGTTTGCGAGACCGGGTTTTTCCGGTTCTCAATTTGATGTACCTAGCGATCAACTCGTTTCGGCCTTCGTAAATTTTTTTTTATAAAAAGGGAAAAAAAATTTTCTTATCATGGTTTTCATACACTAGATTTGTTACGAGGGCTAATAAATAAATATAAGTGGAATTAATAATCTTTATATAATATCCAATGTAAATCAAATAATGTTTAAATGAAGAATTCGTAGATTACATATTTTAGTTTTATATGATATCTTACGACAAAATTATATACATGTCAACCATGAACACGAAGTCAATCACTATGGATTAGGGAGATGAGAGTGATCACCTGACAACCTACTCATTTGTTGTAATAACCAAAGATTGTATTTATTGAATAAAATGTATGTTAATAAATTGGAGTTATGTTAGAAATAACTTTGAGAATTTGTGAGAGGATTGCTCGGTGAATCAAAGAATCACTCATTTATATGATAAAAGCATTATATCCATAGCTAGCCCATTATTATAAAACAGAATAGATTAATATTTTAGCCAAAGGCCTGAGGAGATTTGGTTATGTTAGAAGTTTGATCCCTTTCTGGCGGAATCTAGAGGCTTGATAGATAGGTTATATAAATATTTTATACAACACTATATAAAAATGGGAAAGGGGGGGGGGGGGGCAATAAAGAGATTTAAGTTTAATAATATTATTCCGCTTGCTGTTCCTACAATAATGATTTTGAACAATGGGCTTGTGTGGTGAGCTAGTTAAGATATTTAGAATATCAAATTCGTAGATAACTGTTTTAAACTAATCAATCATGTTGCCTCATCATCAACATTTGAACAATTTCTTTAAGCTCTCTACATATATGTAGAATAAATATCTTATTTTATTTTTGTTTGAAAATGATCGCATAAAAAATACTAGTATAAAATAAGATTTTTAGTTTAAATCTTTCTAATGCGCAGAATCTATTCAAGTTTCGATGAAAGCCTTTTCTTCTGAAGATAAATTTTATTTTTTTTAATATCATTTTAACAACGCTACTTCCGGCAATATGTACTCTGCGGCAAAATATTTAATAAAACATGGTGAGTTTAAATGAATAATAAATCCCGAAGTTGTAGCAGATGCTAAATTAAAAATATGTGGTGTGGTGATGTTGGACATAATCTAGATTTTTTTGGGTGAGATAAGTTATAAGTTTCGGTCATATCTACAAATCCATTAATAGGCGTCTATTAATACGCACCTCTGACTCCATCAAATGAAACGCGAATGCCGAGGTTTTTTTAAAAATTTTAATAACCCATCCTCGTTACGCGTCTTGTCAAAACAAGGTAACTACGCATACGTAATTCGATTGTATTTAAGGCTGAGATGGTCAGATAATTTGATAGTTATATCTATTTTAGCATTCTATCTATAAAATGAATCATCTATTTGTTATAAATTCAATAATTTTTTATTTATCTTATTGTGATCAAACTCATGGCTGGGTTCTTTCATTTTAATATCACGTGCATAAAACACTTCGAACAAGAGAATTTAAAATATCCGATACACAAAAAAAATATTATATATATGGAAGTGATCCTAGGTACCCCTTCCGGAACTTTTAAGAGTTTGTTATAATATTAAAAATATTATCGTATAGTATCTTGATACATTTTTATAATATCTGCTGATAGAAGATGATTTAAGCATTTATTTGATATAAAATTTTATGTAGATATCAGTTTCAAAACTAACCAAAAAAAATGTTTAAAAAAATTTGCTGGAATTTAGGTTAAAATAAAACAACTCACAATAAAATAATGAGCATTTGATATAGAGTTTTATAACATATTTCTGTCACACATTGGAAAACTATATTATATTTGTGACTAAATATTTTACCATCTATAAGCTAGTGTTGTTAAACGGGGCTCGACTTGAGTATTTTTTAAAAACGGGTAACTCAGTATTTTATCCAGAATAATATTACCCAAGCCTGAATATTTTGCTCAAGATCTAGGACTTCAATTGGCAAAATCCCGAGGTTTAGACATTTTCTGGCTAAAATATTGAGTTAGTCGTTTAACAACACTACTCTTAGACTTCCTCTGTTCCGCGTTGCCTCTGTTTGCCTCGTATTTTTTTTATGTTGATTTTCTGCAACACCATTATACGGTCAAAATATTGTTTTTTTTTTCTTAAGTAAAATTAAAGGGGGGGAATAAATATGTAACATTAATTACCATACATCTTGCCCTCGTCTGAGAGTATGATCTTACGTCGACCGCAGGGCGGGTATATGGCCAGGGCTTCTTGAAAACTTTGTTCTATGTCCGGACTCCATACTCCTTCGGCATCGTTACTCATCAGGAGATGGTTAGCGATGGAGTTGTTATTGTGGCTCGCGTTTCGTAAATCGTTGTTATTCGAAGTGTGGCTCGAATCATTGAGATGATTACTCACATCTGACTCCGAATCGTTTCCGGCGGATATTATCGTCGACCGCTGGCGGAACTCGCTAGTTTGGCCAAAGTCGGCGGTTAACTTGATACGTTCGTTCGAGTTTAAATCGGAGGGTGCGTTGGCGATGTATTCTAAAGAGTTGGAGGTAAAAGTAGCTTGGGTCAAATTGGTTTCGTTCTCGAAGCTTTCCGAACCGACCAGAGAACATTTGCTGGAAGGGTCGAGGGTCGTCGAGTTAGAGATCGCTAATTGGGTTTCGCATTTTTCGACGAGATTGTGCCCTGGTAATTTGGTATAGGGTTCGCGGGGTAAAGCGGAGATTGTGATAGGAAACTGGGGGCGATTCTGAAAGGAAGCGTTGAGATAATACGCCGCCAACGGTGACATGGGTTGGGCCAAGCTGGCTAAATTGAGTTGATTCGAGTGAACATCGTTGGTCGGTAAGCGCATGCTATGATAAGGATAGTAATAGGGAATCGAAGTTCTTACATTATCGCCGGTCATTGGATGATTATCTTGACTTTTTAATCCGTTGACTGTTAAAGTGCAGTCATAATCGTAACACTTATCGCTCATGAGGCGATTGAAATGCGAAGCGTTAACTTGGCCCACAAACGCAGGTTTGGACGTGGCGTCATTCAGTTTAATAACATTGGACACGTTTTTCCCCGCTTCCGCGTTCAAAATTATATTTTTATTCGCGTCGCCTTTGAATTTATCGTTTGTCGGGTTATCCGAACCATTCTTTATGCACGGTTTAGGGTGCGAAGCGAATAGCGTATCATTTTTGATGATAAGAGATGAGTTAGATGTCATGGCTTTATAATTTGTCATCGAATCGGTGTTTGAACAAATCATTTGATATGGCTTTTGATTGAAAAATTATTCGCACTTATTTTTTTACAATTTATTGTCAGATAATAATTTCCTATTTGGTGTGTGTGTGTGTATGTGTATATTTGAAATGTTGTTTAGGTCACAAACCCAAGGTGGTTCCATGTTTTAGAGCCGCCAATAATAGTTCTTCGAGAGATGGAATGGCTAAAATTATATTTATTTTAATTTTTAAAAAAATATTAATTTTTATCATTATATACATGGTTAAAAAAAAAAAAAATTATGGTAAATATTTTAAGTATCGAATTCACGCCTCAGTGTTATAACGTTTTATATATTGTGATATAACAAAGTATACCCATCAATAATCGGTTTATGATTTAACAATGCCGTTACTTATTTTTCTTCTTCTAAAGTATCTGTCTAAAGTTGCTTTTCTTTAAAAAAAAAATAAACTAAACTAGCAAACTACAATTATGCTATTTGAAATACCCTGAAGCTTATATTAAAAATAGTACCTTAGATTATGGTGACAAATCAATAAAATATATTACACCGATTCGCAATTAGCTAATTAATGTAATATTCAAAAAAAGAGATTTAACACTAAAAAAAAAAAACCTTATTCAATTTGTACCCCTAAAATCTATATATTTGCTTACTTATTATTTCTAACTAAAGTTCGGGGTCGCTTAGCCATTATAATCTTATTTTTCCGAGATTTGATGGAAGGCATTCCTTCCCCCTAACCAATAAAGATCCTTGAGTCAGCAACAAATTCGAAAAGGGCTAAATCTAACGACCAAAATAAACTCTGCCACAATAGATATCTAAAGAGAGGGGATGCCAGCGTTGCCGGTCCAACCCCCCCCCCCCCATTCTTCTCTTCTTCTCGTAATAAAATGTAACTGTTACTATTATCGCATGATACAAACAGATTTGATTTGAACTTGGTAAAAATTAGGGCTCAATTGCCGAGAAGGCTGGCTGCTAGCAGCCATGGCTGCTCCGACCTCTATCTCTTCGTTAGTTCATTCCAGAGAGGAATGATGTGATATACTCTTAACTGTGGCCATTACTATAGAATGACGCATCCCCTATTTTTTAATTTTTTAAAAGGAAATTATGCCAGGGTTCTAAAGGAAGGGTGATGCCGGAAAAATAAATTTAACATTATATACCTTCCTTGTAAAATCTATGTAATTTATAACGAATGAACCCGTAAAAATAACCCACGAAAAAAATATGTTAAATAATAATAAAAAAAAAATATTAGTTCTTAGGGGGTTTAGACTCCTGTAAAAACTAGTTCGGATATCTCTCCCACCCTTTAGGGTTAGGGGGTACTCTTAGTTCTCCTAAGTAGTAGAGACAGCTGGCGCCCTGTTTACCTTCTAAAAATTATGGATAAAGTTTGTGTATTCGCTTTTACTATTTTTGGTAAGTTAAAGGGACGGATTGATAGAGGAATAAGTTCAATTAGGAAATAGAAATAGATCTATAGGAATCATCATTATATATGTCCTGAACTGATACCCTCAAAAAAAAATCTTCTAAATCCTAAATTTAGTATACACAATTTATATAATTCGGGGGAGGGGGGGGGGGCGTTACAGAGGGATCCTTACAATAATACGAAATCCGTGCCGTGGTATCTAAATTTTTCTTATGTATTGCTGTACAAAAATAATTTTTCAAGTCAAAGTTTAGGATGTTTAGAGTTAAGTGGGGTACCTATTAAATTACCTATGATTTGATAGTATCTCTATAAACGAAAAGTATCTTAATGACTAAAGGGAAGCTTTAAGGGAAAATAGTTTGCTTCGATAATTATTAAGAATTAAAATAAATGGGAGAAAAATTAATTCAACTTGCAACAAGAAAGAGAACCATAACACTACCACGCAAATGTTAATCGAGGTCCAGTTTTACAAAACTGTATGTATGAAAAAATTTACAATTTTCAATAAAAATTGAATGATATGGTATAGGAAGGCTAGCGTTGAATATAACCTTATAATAATATCTTTTCGGAGTTAGATATTTTTGTTATTAAAATAGAATTATTCAAATGGAATTGGACTTCCTAACTTCACATTGTCATCTAGTGTTGTAAAACGGCAACTCAATATTTCATCCAGAAAAAAAGATATTACACAAGACCTGAAGATTTTACTCATAGAAGGAACCAGGGTCTAGATATATATTATCGAAATATCGAGGCTTAGAACAATTTTTTTTTTCTTGCTAAAATATTGAGTTAGCCGTTTTGACCACACTATTGTCATCTGGTTCATATCCTTATTCCCTACCAAGTTTCAACAACAATAACAAAAAATTTGGGAAATATTATGAATCAAATCTACAGCAACACTGTAGTGAATGATATCAAATAAAAAAAATGCTTGCATAAAGATAACCGACAAATTTATCAATTTTTAATACTCATTTTAATCCTAATTATAAAAAACCTTAAATTGGACGGCTTAAGGTTAATTAAAAGCTGGATTTTTAAAAAATAGCTAATCTTTTGCGAGGAATTCAATTTTTAAATATTATAATTTCCTATATTCTATATTCTTAATCTCATTAATTATTAATCCCCTCTTAACCAATGAAAAGTAAAAATTTCCATCCAAACGTTATTATTTAAATTGTTATTCCACCTATTTAAATATATATATATATAAATAATATTAAATATAAATGAAAAAAATTCTTACAAAAAAAATAAAAAAATTTAAAATTTAATTGATCTAAATAAAAAAAAATTTCAATATTATATAATATATTATATTATCTTGAAAGCCGATATGATATAGCTGAGTGAAGAAAAAGAAAAATTATAATAATATTAATGAATGTATTAATTAGCCATTTTTATAATTATAATTATTTAATATATAAAGAAGGAAAGAAGGGGGAGGAAGGGTAGAGATCTAAAGTAAGAAGATTCGTGAAGGAAGTAGAATGATTAAGACAAGAAATTCTTTGAGAAATTTTATTTCACTTTAAAACGACATTAAATGTCATCACTGTTTGGGGGGTTAGGAATGGGAAAATGTGGAGAACCCCAGGCCCGGCTTTTGAAAAGAAGGTATCCATTTGCCTAGTTCTACCGAGCTTTATAAAAATTACGAAATTCCTATAATATTTGGTACAACCTGATTGGCCCGTAAAATATTTTTGTGAAAGCTGAGCGGGGACCTGTAGAGGGGGGGAGGGTAAAGGATACTGTCAGCCTACCAGGGACTTCTACATCGAATGAAGATACGACTCAAGATCACTATTAAAATTGGAAAATTCATAATAATTTTAGCCTATCGTATACTTCTAACGATATTTTGGGGGTTTCTTTTGTAACGAGTTATATTCTTAGAAATTAGAAAAATTAACTTAGACGAATCCCTTGCTGAAGATTAATCCTTTTAAATGTGAAAATTTAAAAACAATTCTCAAGGAAAAATAATAAAATTTTTATAGGAATCAAAAAAAAAAAAAATTTTTGAGATTTTTGAGATTATGAATAATGGAATATTATTCCCTCAAAATATTAAGCCGTAAATTTTTTTCCATTTTTATTTTAATTTTAAAAAATACAATTAAAACGAATAAATAAATAATCTCACATAATTCATTTTAAAAAAAACATAATTAGTATTGTTTGTTTGTTTTGTTTTTTTTTTGAAAAAAACAATTAAAACAATTAAATTACCTCGCATATATTAGGTATATTTTTGTAATTGCTTAAGATTTTCTAGTTTTTTTTTAACGTATATGATTCATTATTATAATTAATACTTAATGGTAATAAAGGCGTAAAATAAAAAAAAAATCAACATAACAAAGTATAAAAAATTAATCATTTAAAAACAAACGCATATTGTTTTTTTTTTCTAACATCTTTAAATTCCGGTCAATCTCGAATCGAGAAAAGGGAAGTTGGCAGGAGTCTACTTCCGGGAGGGCCACCTAATGAATGAATGTTAATCGCTCCATCCACGCGTTTAAAACCGCTAGCCCAAAAAAATGTTACGTAAGAAGCCTCGGATGTTTCAGCTCATAGACTGTGGAATCTCGAGGCTTAGCTTAATATTATTTCTGGCAACAGTAATTCCCCTAGCAGAATTCTGCCAAGATTCTGAGCTGCTATCCAAACGTAAAAAAAAATTAACTAAGCTCCTTTTTTTTAAAAAAGTATAATCAAAATATAACGAATTAAGCCTATACCATCTTAAAATAGCAAGCTTAAAAATATGGTCTTAAGTGTAGTGTGTTGTAAAACTGCTCGTTTTCAGTAGATTTTTAAAAACGGCTAAATATTTTTCTGGATGAAGTATTGAGTTAGCCGTAATAACAATACTAATTTAGGGTCATTTTATGGGCAATATATTTATTAGTTAAGTTTATGCGATAAAGAAAGAAAGAAAGATATACATGAAAAAAATGATATTAATAAAATTTGGAGATCCCCAAAATAGTCCTATAATTGGCGGCCTGGTGCAGTTGCCGTCTTCTTCTGCACGGGAATGGCTTCTAGGTGCCAGTTAATGACATATTACAATACCTAGACTGACGATTCATTCATTCGTTCATTAAAATGCATCTTTTAAGCGTCGTTAAAAAGCAAATCAGCTGGAGCCGCCATTTTGGTAACACGTATACTTAATTATTCTCGTGTTAAAAACTACTATTATAAATAACTTGCTTCCTTAATTATCTCGATGATCCGGTAATTCTTTTAATAAAGTTAGCATCAGATATAGGGAATAAATTAGGCTCACGTTTTAAAATTTTTAATAATGATTAGTGTAGCCAAGATGGCGTCTCCAGCTGATTTGCATTTGATGTACACCTTTTAATGAATGCAATCGTCAGTCTAGGTATTATATATGTCATTGGTGCCAGTATAGATTATACAAATATTCTTTATAATCTTTAAGGGGGTGTTAATTTTAAAAAATAATAAATTCTCATTAAAATCATAAAAAATATATATATATAAATGCTATGGTCAAATTTAAAGGAAGCTTTTTATCGGGATTTATAATCTTTTTCGCAAAATGAACTTTATATAATTTTTTTTTGAAATAATTAGATTAATATTTTTATATTTGATAAGAAAATATATATATTTATATGTATATGTAATAAACTGCCGAAATGTGGAAATTTACTTAAAAGTTAAAACCATCTTAAACTAA